ACAAAATATTAAACATTAAAACTAGTGTAAAATGGACTCCAATATTTTTTAGAAGAAAACCGTGTAATGATAGTTCATGTGTCACTGCTTAGGAACATAATGAAGAATGCTGACTTAATGAACCATTGCAAAACGATTTCATTAGCAACTTCTGTCGCAATAGATCATTGTCTTCTTTCTCATGCCACACTAAAAACTCGAATTCCTTGAATTTTTATCCACAATTTTATCCACATTTATCCCCCTTCTACGCTCTATTAACAGATATTTCTAACAACAGTATTTTTTCAATGTAGGCAAGCTACTAATAACTCTAAAATAAGTTTGTTAACAGATAATGGTCTTTTTCCTTAAAAAGCATAATCTTTACCCCGAAAGGGTCTCTTTGTCGAATGTTAAGCACATGATGACTGTTCATGTTTTTTCAGGCTGCCCAGGTAGAAACTAGTTAGTGACTTTGACTGCCGTACGACTAAAGTCGGAGTTCGAACCCCGGAGAATGCATGGATGTAAAATTGTCTGCCCCGTCACAGGAGGTAATGGTGCTCGCCTATTAGTAACACCATAATAAAATAACCACTGCTTCCGTCCTTTGTTGTGCCCAAAGCCTAAAATTGCTAGTGTCCGCCATTAAAAAAATATTTTTTCCCAAGTCAGGTATTCGACAATTTGCATAACATTTACCTTTTTCAGCCTAAATTTCTTTTAATGGAAAAATTTTTTAATTTTTTTTCCTTCGTAGGTTGTATCTTTATGACTCAGTAGCATATATGGTTGTTTCAAATGGCTGGAAACTTGCAACTAAACGCATTGGTCGGGGAAAGGCAAATACCCATCGGTTATTTAGCCATCTTATCACACAAGGTTGCACACGGGAAACCAATTTTTCACCCACTAGGACGGAAACGAGATACCTGGACAGGACAGAAAGAAGTAGGCGGAACATCAGAATTTCAGCAAATGGTCTGCCAGATGTAATTCTATTGAACAAACTGTACTATTCTGTTCCAGGTTTGATGTAGCACACCTAGGAGGACGGATGTGAGGTCTTTCCCTCTTCCCTTACTATTAAACCTGTCGGGTGGGTAGTATTTTCGGTGTCCCATGCCGCTTAGACGCATATAAACATCCAATATCTTTTCCTGGATTTGAGTCTGAGCGCAATTATACAACAACCTGGAACGATAAGCACAAAAACCGATCAGAGTGGTCAGTGATATATTTACAAAGTTTTCATCAATATTTATCAGTTAGAACTTGGCCCGGAAGACTATGAATAAGCTCATGCGTAAGCTTAGTTTTATTACAAGTACTCTGAGAATATAATCAAAGATAACGTGAAAATACAATAACATTTATTCAAGGTTTAAATGCTGAACGTTTAAGTTAGAAATAGCAATCTTGAGGGTGAAGACAAAAGCTATTCCGAAAAAAAAAAAAAAAAACAAGAAGGTTGAAAATTATGTAGAAAAATAAAAAAAAAATGGACATCCATAATTCTCATTGTTAGCGAAATAGCTTATTAATTTTTAAGATCCTCTATACTTAGACTCGAAAGAGTTGAAATAATTTTAAAAAACACAGAAGTGGTTTTAAACTGATGCATAAAGGAGTCTTGGCTAAATATATAAAAGACTGAACATGCTGTCCTAATATTTCCTGATTATATAATAGATTTGCCGAGTAATTGCTCTATTTCTTTTACTGTTGAAAGAGCTATAGTTGACCAGTTTTAATTGGCCTTAATTATCAGTTTGAATTTTCTTACTTTTCAATAATTTAACCGACATTTTCCTTTTGCTTTTATATTTTTACAATAGTTTCACTTAGAGATTTAGTAAATTCTTGCGATTACGTCTTTAATGAACTTTAAATTGCTTTGGGTATTGAAGCATTAATTCTTTTATTTCTAACAATTTGTGATAATAATGTAATTCTATTATTTTTTATATCACATAGCTAAGAATATTGATATTTTTCTATATTCAATTTCAGTAATCTACCTATCTATATTGACAAAGTTAAGCTAAAAATGTCTTTTCATTTTGTTTGAATCTTATTTACTAGCGAGAAAACTTTGCAACTTTCGTGATCTGGAATGTAATCCCGCAAAAAATCAACTGAGATTACAGAAGCACAATGTAATTTCTTAAAGAATGAGGAAAGCATAGTAGAAAAAATTAATAGGACGCATATCGTACAGAACGAATAAAAAAGGCTTTTACTGGCAGAATAGCGTTGGTATAAAAAGCTTTTAGTCTGGTTAAGAGGAAGAACTAGAGACCAAAGAGCCAATAAGGAATATGACTTACCTAACCGCAATGGTTGCGTTGAATCATCTTTCGATATTCTACGCCAGATTATCTAACAATTCTTTGAATTAGAGTTTCTATTCTTCAAGGAGCATCTGTTTCAATTCTCCGGAGTGTAAAATCATGCCCCCAGGCGTCTCTATAAAGTGTACCACACATGTTTAATTATATTTAAATCAGGGCAACACTTTGGCCAAACCATTCTGCGGACATCTTTTCTTTCCAGGAGCTCGTCAAGAGCATAAGTCCTGTGTGGCCGTGCATTGTCATCCATAAAAAAAGTCGGAATCAATGGCAGCCAGGAAAAGAGGCACATGGGGGTGGGAGGATAACTTCATCACAGTATAAGGTACTTCTCCCGATTTCCTAGCGTGCCTTCGTGGTGTAGTGGTTCTACACGCTGGTTCGGTATTCCAGAGGTCCGTGGTTCGATTCTCAGCGAAGGCGGTTGCTAATTTTTCATCTCTCCGGCCTCCAAAAATATACCTAATGTCTCTACAACCGTAACGATCTTATATAAGTGAACTTCTGTCAAAAATGTGGAGTTCTGTCTGTTCGTTCATCATAATGCCCCCTCATACAAGCAGCCAAGTGCCACTTCAGCAGTCTTTTTCCCCGATTTTAGTGGGATGAAAGCGTATTCAAACCTCTCTAGCTAGCCCCTAGAATTGTTTGCCAGGCTGAAACGGCTCTCATCGGGAAAGAGGACGACTTCATTTATGACGTGTCGAGTCTTTGTGTTTTCTACATCACAACAAACGGTGCCGCCTATAGGCTGCTAGGAATGGCCACAGTAAACCGGGACATCTGTCTTCCGGTTGGTTGCCGTGCGCAGCTGCTGAGCAATGTTGCCCGCTGTCTGATTTCGATCTGTTTTCACCTACAGGGCAATAGTTTCGTCATCAATCACCATTTTTTCTTTGGCTGATCACCATCCTTTCTTCAACCTTTCTTCCAGCTTTCATCACCAACCTTTCTTACTGCTGTACCAGTCGTTTAGAATGCTTTCCAAGCTCTCGAGATAACAGTTTTATCAATTCAACACTCCTGAGCGCCAGACATCAAACTATGTCTCTCCTTAAGCTTGCCAATCATTCTATCACGTTTAAAGATATCCTGATGTTTTCTTGCAGCCATATCTGCACGTAAAATATCACTTTCACTTGCAGAAGAATGATGGAAATGCTCCTCCCTTTCTTCTTTTTAAGTTGTCTTGCACTGTGCGCGCAGTCTCCTCGTGCTTTGTATACCCTGATGTATCTTCTAATGACATGGTGTTGATATTCGCATATGCATCATCTATCTACTGAGTAGGCTTTTCATTGTACTGATCACAAGAAGCGTTTTTCAACAACTTCATGGTTGTATGTTAAAAATGGATTTGTTGCTGACGTTTTGCGCACTAGTCTATGTTCAATATAATCTTTTACTCTTGAAAACGAGAAATTCAGCTATCCCGTTTTCAGAGTCCTGCAGTCCACGAAATTTTTATGGGTTAGCCTGTAATGAATCCCTTAATATGTAAAAAACTTAAAGTTAAAATTAAAATCTCGTTATGAACTGTGCTCCTGCTCACACAAGAATTGCAAGTTTGTGAGCTAATTCGATGCGTTTTTGTCTGATAGCCTGATAAAGTTTTATGTAATTTCACTCATCATTTTGAAGGTGCTTTTCTGTAATGTGTTTTCTTTGATATAATGATTGTTTGTGTAATATATTTTGTTTGATATGATGATTATTTGGGTAATATGTTTTGTTTGTGATAAAAATGCAGATTCTCATAGGCAAGTTATTGAATTAGAAAATTTAAAAAAAAAAAAAAAAAAAAAAGAATTAATAGAAATAAAAAATATGAAATATTAAATGATAGTTAGTAGAAAGTTTTTAAGATTTTTATATGAAATATTTTTTATTTTTAAATTTCTAAATATGTATCCCCTTTTTAAATATTCATTAATTTAAAAAAATCAATTTATCTTTAAGAAATAAAATTTTTCATTATGACATCCCTCCATACATTTCCTAGTACTGGACTTCTTTATCTTTAATTTATACTCTGCGTAGTATTTTTTATTTGCATTCAATAATTCTTTTTACTTTAATTTTCTTCCATGCTGGATAATACTGCCATTACACTACATCTGCTGTATATTTAATTGATGAAAATATCACGTTTGATTACGGCTCCTCTGAAAAAAATCGCTCGGGTCAACACTTTCAAAAATTTTGCTCTTAGCAGGAAGTTCTTATCTTCCAGTGTTTTTTTATGTTATTTGCTTCAAAAGCAAGTTACATCGAGCTACTAACTACTAATATAATAATAATAATAATAAAATCATGAGAGTTCCAAATAGTCTGCAGAATGATCTGAATTTTCGTAATTGTAGAATTACGTTCATATAATGTAACGGCGTAATATTATGCAACGACGGGATTTCTAGGAAGAGTGGTCTCGGAATTTCAGCGTAATAATCAGAAAGTATTATTTTCAATAATGTTAATTATACGAAAACTACGAAACAAGAGACGTAACACAGATTCAACGCTTTTTAATTTTAAAGTAGTTTTAACTTACGGAATAAAAAACATTTTTAATTATTTTTTTTTCTTATTTTACTTATCTATTTCTTCCAAGTAACATATTAATGTGTAGTTTTGTTGTTTTTGATGATTAGTATGTTACTCTAGGTGGAAGTAGCCAAGGTGTTCCTGTGTGTGGTCCTAAAGAAATGACAGAATGTGTCATAAGACAGGGATCAAGAATTTTAAGTCAGTAAAAAGTTTTCTATTTGGCACGAATTTTTCAATTCTTTCATGCACATTATTGCTGCAGTAAATGCAATAAATATGGATGAATCTTATCGATTAGCTTTAATGGGATCAGATAGGACGAATAACCAACAAATAGTTTTTGACAGAAAATATACTTAGGTACAACGCTGTTACCCATACACACATTATCTAAGAATTTTTGCATGATTCAGTAGCCAAAATGGGTTTTGAAATGTATCCAATGAAACTATTTACTCAGATATCAGTTCTAATCAAAACTTTCAGATGAAGAAATAATTTATCTTTAAATTGCATTTAAGTACTGCTTACATGTAGCCAGTTCAATGCATTCGATAAAAGCATCCAAATTTAGTATTCTAAGTCCTCTAATCAAGTGACATTGTTTTTTTAGCCATTTCATTTTTTTAGGAAGATAAGATGATTATATTTTAACCAGAGTTAAATTTACTTCAGAACAGTATATCTGGAGTCTAGATTCCAAATTAAATATCAAAACCTCCTAACAGCGAGCAATTGTAAGGCAGTAAATTTTATTTATTCGTCTAAATTTCACTTTCCTGTTAATCAGAAGTTCGACTTTTTTAATATAATGTAAGTTTGCTTAAGCACCGTAAATGTCTACTTAATTAAATTTTTTTATTGTATAAGATTATAAAAGACATTTATGCTTTCATATATTTTATTTTGGTATTAAATTAAACCACAAAAGTAAAGAAACATTTAATAAGTAAAGAAGTAAAAGTAAAGAAACATAGGAACTTCTTAGTACCATTATGCCTGTAATTACAATTTTCATTAGAGGAGCAGCATATAATCAATTTCAAGTTATTTTCTTTTTCCTCGGATAGAAAAGAAAATGCTTCTTTTCCTCAAATCAGAAGCAAAGTTCTTTGAGAGCAACCTAGGAATTTTCGGTCTGAATCCTAGAGCTGGGACTCAACTTTCACTGAACATTGAGGCTCAGTATTTGCCATGAGATTAGAGAGTCCAGTGTTTCCCATTATTTCAATATATGCATTTATTATGACAAAAATGGGGAGAAAGGAATTTTCTGAGCATTTTCGTTCATGACCGGATTGAAAAATGAAAGACGATCCCTTCCACATGTCCTATTGTACACACTAATTTGAGCATTTATTGAATTATATATTATATATTTCTTGTTAAATTCAAAATGCATTTAAAACAAAATAACGCACAGTTTTGGATCTATGAAGGCAACTAGCTTGGACTATCTGAATCATATTGAGAAACTGGTATCTTCTTAAAATATTTCACTGCATTTAAAATCTTCAATTTAATTTGAATTCAAAAGTTATGCAGAATTGTTCATTATAATGGTAATCAATTAAGATCTGATCAAAATGATCAGGATAATATGCGATATAAGACAGAAAACATTAAAAGCATTTTCAGGAAATAAAAGAAATTCGCCTTCAAAATCTAGTTTTATTTAAATGAAAGCTAAAATTTATGTTATCTTTTACTACTAAAAATGAAGCAAAAGTCTAGATATGTGTTTTATTAAAAATTCTACATTTGCAATTCAATTCCCGATGGAGAATTCCCTTTTGTTCCAAATGTTTGTACTAAAGTGCCTCCTAAATTATTTCACACTTATTAGTGCCAAACATCTCTAAACGCTTGGACTTAGTAAAGTATTTTATTATGTTCATAATTAACACAAATTTATTTTAGAAGTGAATTTCTGTGCTTATTTATAATATTCAGCAATCATATTTTTAGAAATGTAATATAGTTTTTGCACTAAAATTCAAAAAAAAAAAATTAAATTAAGAAATGTTTGCTAAGATAAGCAGTACCAGTTTAGTATTATATCAGTTAAACGAAGTTATGCTATATGCATTTTTTTTTTTTTAAGTTAGGACTCAGATTTAGTATTAAGGATTAGATTCGACTCAGATTCATTTAGTCTCGAAAATACAGTTTCATACTAACTGAAAATTGGAAGTCATTAACTTGTTAAAAGTACTATATTTTTTATTTTATAAATACTGACATATCCCCAGCTGTACTTCACAGTCGCACAAATATAAAATCATAAAATAGTTTATCCCGCATTCCAGCTAATATAACTCTTTTACAGTTGCGTTTAATATATTTGTAACCATATAAACACGAGTTATATATAATCATTTTTACACCACCTATAAAATTAGGTGAACTATTCTGCATTTCAGGTGATTTATTAAAGAAGTGCCAACCTCCATGCGTAGAATACATCTTTGAAGCTGCATCTTCTTACGCCCAGCTCAGGTACAATTACAGTATACAGGAAAGGTGAGTAAAATTCTATTCGTACTTCTAAAAGTGTGAAGCGTATAAATATTAATATTGATAGTATGCTTTGATGTACGATGCTTTCATTATATAATTGTTATGAATGTACATATTACGAAGTGTTACGTAAGTACAGTGTAATCATAAAAACGCTTCCTCAATATATGAACCCATAGCGGTCCATCAGCTCAACCAATCTAAATGAAATTCCAGATATTATTATTCGAAAGCAAGCACTGGAGCTTCCCCCCTTGTGGTGATTTAAAACGATATAGCTCTCACGCTTACTAGGTGACAGTGAAAAATTTCGAAATTTTCAAATGGCAACATTCACTTTTCTCCTGCGCTAATTGCTCAGCACATTTAAAAACCAAAAATGACTTTGGAACGATACACGTATGACGAATTCGATCCGGACTAAACTAATAGTGCCCAGCGGTTGTATCCACTTGTCCACAGGTAGGCCGCTATGGGAATTGTATCGGATTTCCTTATTTCTGGAAATTTAATTTTAGAATCTTCATATCAATTGCATTTTTTATTCTTCGTCACGCAATTTACGTAAATACTTGCTTATATGCTTTTTTGTTAGGTACGTTTAGCCAGTTATGTTTAGCTTATAAGGTATTTCTCCCGCCTTCTTAGCGTGCCTTCGTAGTGTAGTGGTCAGCACGCTGGGCGCGTATCCCAGAGGTCCGTGGTTCGATTCCCGGGGATGGCGTTGCTCATTTTTCACTTCTCCTGCTTTCAAAAATACCGGGTGTCATTCAACACTCATCTATATAATAAATTAATTATTTCTTCATCCATTGAAGAATAGTCTGCTTTTCCCAAATAACTGAGTAAACAGGTATTACATTATACAATATTCAATGCCTTTGTTTCCCGCTAATACAAGAAACTTCTTTCTTAGTAAAATATATCAAAAACAAAATGTGCATAAATATGGAAGATTATTCTGTGATTCAGAGTTGATTTTTGCTCTTAATGAAAGCATTAAGTACATACATTAGTTAAAATCCTTCTCATAGCTCCGTTTTAATTATAACGACGTATACAAGACTACCTACCAAGAGTAAGTATGCTTTCGCCGAGGATTTCTTAAAGGAAGCTAACTCGTATCCACGTTCTATCTGATGAAAAACCATGAAAACTGTTATGTATCCAGCCCCTTCTCCGGGATTAGAACCCGGTTCAAACTACCATTGTTCAACAACTTAGCCACTCAACCGTTGGTGCCGTTTATTAGCATTTGTATCAAAAGATTTTTCAAAATAATTGCGTAGATACAATTATTAGGTTCTAAGATCCGCACGCATATCTTGTAAGTGACAACCGAACGTGTAGGAACTACACAGGTGACAGGTGAGAGCAGGTCCGGACACCCGGACGGCTTACATAGACTAGTCGGGTATCGTCCGGATCCCGCAACTATCTGAAGCTACACTCCGAAAACAATACAAGGGCAAAGTACATGGCCATACAAAGGCGACGATAATAAGATTTTTCTGCTGCATGCGAAATTAAACATTTTCCTGGCTACATCGCATGTTAACACATTGCTACACATACTCGCTACAATATACATTTCATAATATGCATTGCGTTGATCATTGCACTGTACTTAAAGCACGTTTACAACTCAATGCTACACTTAATACACTATATATTCTTTGCAACATATAATGCTGAACATTATTCTTGACAATTCAACATGGATTCTAAACAATGTAATTGCTTAAATAAGACATAACTGGATTATATAGTACATAACTTCGTTATATAAGACAGATTTAAATAAATAACTTGATACAACAGATAAATAAATTAAGAGCTCTTAAATAAAGAGCAAAATTGCACATTACAAACAAATTACACATTTTGCACACAGAAATCCTTTTTGTTTACTTTGTGCTGTACTTATAATATACAAAATACAGATTTAAGAACACAGTACAGCCCATATTACTTTTGATTAAATAAAATAACATGTTAAAAGTTAACTGTGGCATAAATTTTATAATTTTGCTGTATTCTTAAAAACATACCAAAAATAACTTTGTAATTAAACACATTCTACTGGTTACATTGCACCTTAACATACTGCTATATATAAAAACTCAATACACTAACTTTTTTATAATACATATTACATTGAACACTGCACTATATTTAGGACACCTTACAAAACTCATTTCTACACTTAATGCACTGTGTGTATTGGCTACACACTACATTGAACATTACTCTTGATTAAATAATATAGGCAGTGGTTTGTTATATACAACATAATTCTTAATACAAAAAGCTTATAAAAAACACTGTTAGAAATACACATTGAGGGAAAAAATTACAGATTAAATTAATTTCAGTTAAAAAATTACATGTACTAGATACATTAAATACCGTACCTGTGTATGAACTACACAGGAGAAGGGTTAAAAATACCCTTTATTAAACTCTTTAAAATTCACAATGCGTCGACTTGACGCTAACACACTACGCCTCACTCCGGCGGTAACTGAAATAACAAGAACTAAACTAAAAATTCGAAGATATTAACAAGTTGTAGAAATTCTCTACAGGGCTCAGAAAACTCCTGTTACTTAAAACCGCGTCGAACTGCAGAAATAGAAGCTCACGCTACAGAGGTGAAGGCGAATGCCCAAACTCTCCCATTTTAATTCTAGAACTCCGTATTTAAACTTTTTCTTCTCAAGGTAGAATTTGCATTACTCCACGCGCGCTACCAAATTTAAATATTCTGCCATTGACAATTAGAAGAATTAAGACTTATAGGAAAGAACGTAAAATTAAATTAAATCAGTTATTTGAAATAAATATAAATCCCTACAAGGTAATAACGAATTAATGAATTAATTAAGTCTCAATATAAAGAAAACTTTCACTCGATTTATCGCCATCAGTCCTGGCATTTGGAGAGAAAATAATTTATTTTGTGATAACAAAATATCTTGTCGATTGTAATATTTTGTGCGCAAAATATCAAGCACTTCCACGCACTTATACGAAAGACTTATACTAATAGATTTCTTTCTAAGAAAAGTTTCATGAAACGGAGAAGATTTTTTCCCCCATGCAGATTTTAAAATTTTGTGGTATTCCAAATTTTAATAAATTATTTTAACAAAGCTATTGATCTCCATCAATTCTTTCGACATATTCATTTATTCGATTTAATTTAATTTCTCTAGTAGGATATTTTTATTTCTACATTTAAGAATTTTTTACATGTAAGTTCGAGTTTGTAGTAAATAGTGACACATACAAATCCCAAAACTCAGGCATGCTGAAAATAGTGCTGTCATTTCATAAAGCTGAAAGAAAATCCATTCAAAACTCCACTTGAAATACATTTTTTTCTTGTTGTTGACAAATCAGAAACTGTAACCAGCTTCTATAATGAAGATTAAATAGTCAACTCTATATTATATGATTTATTAAAAATACGTTTCTCATTACATTTCTGAATTTTTCCTATTTTTACTAAAATTTGGGATATAATCAGCGACTGTGGATTAGACTTTTATTACTATAAAATAACAGAAGGCAAACAGTTGTAAAACGATTTATCTCCATTTAGCAAGCTTGCAGAATAATATATATTTGCTGTCTGAAAATAAGGCTTCATTCAGAGGGATCTTGCGCAAAGTGCGCTATTCAAACAGATTCCACACCCTGTTAAGATCTATGTGCTAAATGACATCCGCCTGCGGAAACGCAGGAGGAAGGAAGCTCTCGCGTAGCTTCTCAGCACGTCTTAAGCATTTATTGGAAATCTTACCTTCGTGTATACACGGTTTAATCATTTTTCGAGAAATTTCAGCCCCGTGTAGACTTAAAGGGGGTTAAAAAATACCATACTTATTATTACTACTAATTATTACTGTTAAAAATTTATTGTTGAATGTTATTATAGTAATTTACTATCTGTTGTGTTTGCGTTTATTATGAAGTTTATTAAGAAATGGACTATTCTCTTAGCCTTCATAATACTCCTGATTCAAGTCAGCTTTTTTGAGTTCGCAAAATAAAATATTTGTTACTCAGAAAAATGCACCTAAGTTTTATTATGTAGTGTCATTGTACCTTGAAACTTCAATCATTTCTTCGGACTTAGGGTCAAATGACCTTTACTTTAGTATCCTTCTTGGAAGACATCCTCAAATAATTACTGCAGTTAAATATTATGTATGATCCCATGCTAAATGTCGTATATGTTCGAAGAATTGTATGCATCTGGTATTTTACTAAAATAATGCAATTGTGAAAGTGTGGGGTTTTATAAGACCTTATTCATTCGCCGTTGCGGATGCACAAAAGAGTGAATGTGTTTGCGCACGTTATATAACAGGCTTGCGCACGTGCAGTCCTTCAGCCTAGTGACATTGTGGTTTTTCGCTAGTAGATAAAGTTAAATAACGGAATTAAAGAGACAAACCTTGGTACCCTGCGCTCTTCTCATGCGAGAAGTTGCGGCCTCAAATCCCAGCTTTTTTTAAATGCGTGGAAAAGGTATTGCTATTAAAATAAATAATGAAATTACTTAAAATAATTAGAGATTGAATAATAAAAAAATAATTTCGGATTAAGTAATTAAAATTAATTGCATATTAACTAATGAAAAATACTAAAGGAGAATTAGATAAAAATGATGTCATCCCAAATACGTGATTCAAGAAGTCGTTATCACAGAAACGAAATATTAATCATCGTTGCCACAAAATAAAATTTTGAAAAAATTGTTGCCACAAAAAATAAAAACTATTATGCATGGTGCCATTCAAACACGTACGTCACGTCCGTGTAGAGCCAAGATGGCGACGTCATTTCCAGGTGTCACTGATTCAGAAATGGCGGTGCATCACGAATTAATGGAGACTTCATTCTGTGCTTAAGTTATAAGGTATTTCTCCCGCCTTCTTCGCGTGTCTTCGTGGTGTAGTGGTTTGCACGCTGGGCGCGTATTCCAGATCCGTGGTTCGATTCCTGGCTAAGGCGTTGCTCATTTTTCGTTTCTGCTGCTTCCAAAAAATACCTAATGTTTCTACAAAGTCATCTAATTGCTGTATTACGTAATGACTTCCGGGGCGGCATCTTTTGCCCGCACGAGGACCTTCGCTTACTACAAGCGATCACAGTCGCCCGTCAGGTATGCGGTGCTCTTGGGCAGCGACTACAATCAGCAGTCGAATATCATCGATTACAAATCGCCTACTGTAGCAAAAGGATTTAGTTTCGCTTTCACATTATATCCAGGTAGTATTATTAGTGTAAACTTCGATCGATGGCTACAAGTGGACTTTTCTTTCAGTTTAAACTATTATGTGAGATTACAGTCAGATTATTTACGCCGAATGACTAAAAATTTACATTGCAATTGGATTTATTACTTTAGAGTTCATTAGAAATTTAGGCTGATGCTGTTGTTAAAATACTCCATAAATATCAAGAAATGTGTATGTGATTGACATGTAATAAAGATTTATAGTGCTTTAAATGTTTAAAGAATATTTTAAGCACTTACGAGTAATTTTTATGTAACCTCCATATTTTTTTAGTTTCAAAATCACCAGTGGAATAACGATTGGTATAAATTTTAAGCAACTAATTCATGTAATGCTAATACATTTGTGTGGTTTTTATATAAATGCACTTTACTGAAATAAAATATGTTGTATTGTTTTCTATGTTTACTTTTTTTCCTAGGAGCCGAATCTCAATTTCTTACAATACAATTAGTTACTATCATAACATTTACCATAAGCATTATCTGTCTTCACTGTTTAGTAAGTATTCAGTTTCCTCGAATATATTTATTTAACATAATAATTGCATCACTTATAAATCATATAATTTCAAGATATTTTCTTATGAATTGAACTGATAGCATGTCATTTTATAATCATATCGGAAGGTTCACAGAAATATTAAAGTAAGATGCTTCTAAAATAAACATATTATCTATCAAGTCTAATAAATATTTAAATGGAAACACTCATTTCGTTTTGGAGAGAAATTGTTGGATATAAAACAATGTAGCTGTAAGGAAATGTTTGTGCACCTTCGTTGTCATTCAGTCAATAAATATATTGTATGTTTTTCTTCACAGTTTTTTTTCACGATCACTAATGCTTTACAAAGAATTAATGCTGATAAGGATAGCACAGGCAACTCATCTCGTTAATTAAAAGCAATTTTCTAGTTGATTGCTAAATAATTTTTAATAATGTATAACTATTAATATCTGAAAACGAAACTTTAGGTATAATTAGAATTTGTTTTGTAGAAGTTAGGCTGTTCGGCATATATAAATTTATCAATAAATTACTGACTCTTCCTTTCTTAAAACATGTTAATCATTGGCATTTTTAACATACTTTTAACTTACTTTAATCTTTTTATTCAGTTCGCCCACCGTTTCTTAAGTAAGAGGGAAATAATGGTTGCTAATGAAGGTTTAATTATTAAAATTTAGACTGATGTTACATGTTCAGAATGTTGACATGATTTCCTGTCTGTCTGCCAGGAAAATTAAATTATTAATTAAGATATTAAATTAGTAATTAAATTGTTAACTGAAAACATACGTTGATTTCATAGGTTAAAGTTTCCGTTACTTAAGAAATTAGAATAATAAGTTCGTTTTATAGCATTTATAAAAGCAATTTGTGCTTCTCTGTATTTTTCACTGTTTTAGGCTGCTTGAATTCTTATAATTATCTAATTCCGATAAAGTTAATATGCTAAATTAGAGAGAACGGTCGAATTAAGAACTTGTTATACTATACGTATAAAAAAATCTTCGAGAAACATAAAATTTAACACAAAAATTAATACGCTATGAAAGTTCCATAAATTTAGGTTATCTTGAAAAAACCCTAAATCTCCAAAAACTCGAAGAGTGCACTCTGATCGATATTTAAACCATAGTTCATTTTTCTGACTTATTAAATAAATTTATTCTTTAATTACATTTTGATTTTCATTTAATAAGTAAGCTTAGCTCCTAATAAATAACTGCAAATTTAGAATTATAACTATTAATTATAACCTAAGCTCAAAATTATAATTAGAAATTTAGATTTTGTTTCACAAATATTGTAATTTTGTATAATTTATTCATTTTCATGCTCCAGAATTTGATTAAACTGTAGCTAAACAATTTAACTTGAAAAAGGTTAAGGCATCTGGAATTTTATATTCAGGGAAGCAAACAGTATTTCAATAAAACTTGAAAAAAACTTTAAAAAATCATCTGGAATTAGGGAGACAAACATTATTTACTGGAATACTGGAATACTTAAAATTTGCTACACCTGTTCGTTCTGTGCATGTTCTGTAATTATAGAACAAGCAAGGATATTGATATTCGGCAATGCAGGTGTCTAAATGCACACATTAACAAGGAACTGACTAGCACATTAGTATATTATCTAGCCTCGTTGCAATCATTCAGTAATATTGCCTCAAGAAATTCCGAAAAATGTTGATACGCACAGAACAAATATTATGCAAATAATGCTAGTAAACGTGACAAATTAATTAAACGTTCAACATTGACCTGTATGTTTCGATGCGTATATTAGTAAATAATGTAAATGATGTATGCAATATTTAACATAATTACATAATAAACTTATTCCTTTAAAATGTTTAGAACCAAAGGAGATTATCTGATTTATTCTTTGTTTCAAATGCTTAGATAACTCCACAAGGAACTTAAAGAATTATTTTCATCATGACCATTTCATCGCGATTATATAATAATTTTTCATCTTCATTATATGTATGTTTATCATCTGATATCGCTTACCAACTCATTACTTTTTCTAAATCTAGATTTTTAGAGATTACTTCGGTGTTAAAAATGTTTAAAGGCGAAGCAAAGCTTGAAAGACAAGTTATTTATTCTTTTATTTCTCATTCACTTATGATCGTATTTTTCTAGAAAAAATATTCTAAATTTCGCTTCTGTTGCTTGCGTTAGAAACTCTACGTCAAAGTTGTGATTTATTATTTCAGTAACGAAAAATTATATAAATTAACGAATAAGAATCTGAATTGCAATTCATGCACATAAATTTACACAAAATAGCGAAAACAGTTATATTATAGAAAAAAGAAATAAAAGAAACTATTTCTGATATTTGTTTATTTTATTTAAAGGTGATATTGGCGGAGCCATGGGACTTCTCTTAGGTGCTAGCTGTCTAACCGGAGTAGAACTGCTCACTTTTCTTGGGCAGTGGATATATTTTACATTCTTTGAGAAAATATGAACAGGAAGTCATCTAGTCATCCACATGGCAAGGGAGGAATTCAAGCTAATAATCGAGTCACTTCACTCAACATCAATACGTTTGTAGAAGATAGATTTAGTGAGCGGAATACTCGTTTGTAGAAGATAGATTTAGTGAGCGAATACGTTTGTAGAAGATAGACTTAGTGAGCGGAATGTTAATACTGAAGAATGAAATGGAGGTAGTTGTAATTGTGTTCATATGTTTGACTTTTCATCAGAGAAGACACTATCTATCAATTTTTCTGCGAATTTTCTTTACTATTTAACTAAATCATATTTAGAAAGTGCAGTTCATTTTCCTACCAATTCTTAGAACTGTACTCAGTTTACAATTAACGAACAAGGTAAACCATCTCTTTAGTGCCTATATTAAATGCGTAAAGTGTTCATATCTATTACTTTCCTGAAGCTTTAAGCTAAAACTAGCGAAATACGTGTTTGAAGTAGTATTTTTGGAATATATCAGCAATGATGAAAAATAAGGACTTATTTAAGCATATGCATAAAAAAATTTAAAATTTTACGAATTTGTAGTACAGAAAATAATGCAGCTGTAGCTCAAATTTTATTACGGAAATATCACTTAACGTTTAACTTATCAGCAGAAATCCCAGACATAAATGTGAAAAAAAAGTGTATCAGCGTGTGTCACGAAAACATTTGCCTTATCCAGATGTATTGGATGGTTTAAAGACGTACTGAAAACGTGGACAGATGTTCTTGAAATTCTCTTTCATTTAATTATCAGTCAAAGAGTGGAAGAAGAAAACAGAAACTTTTCAATCGGTTCTATCTATTAAATGCATTTAAATTGTTCATGTTAATTTAGCCTAGTAATATGTTACTTTATCAGGTTCAGTATTCCTCCTTACTTGTTTGGGGAACATTCGATGACCTGACTCGGAACAGGGAGCTTACTAAAGTTATGTTCAATAAATGTGGGAAGTAGACAAGATACACAGGAAGGGTATACAAAACCCTTTATTTTTCTCTCTTTCCAAAGATTTCCGGACTTCGGAATACAGAGACCAACCACTTGTGGTCTGAACGTAAGAATATAAAAATATTAACTAAATTCTAACTAAACTAACTTTGGATTAATAAACAAGTGTCTACTCGAAGATTGGCCGTATATTAACAGAAAGGCCGTATGTAGTACAGAGAACTGTTAACACTACGATACGTTTAAAATTATCAAGAGGATTAAACCTCTGGCCTTGAAGGCAACCAGCAACCGAGTAAAACTGCTAAGGCAAGCGGCCTGCTTCTACTAACTCCTTCCTCTCTCTTGCTTGGCAAAAAGCCACAACTTAAGTACTTGGCGTTCGCAAGACAAATTTGCATAAATAATTTAAAGCTTTTAATTCTGGCCGGAAGTAGAAAATAAGAAGTGATAGTAAAGATTTAAAATAAAAATAAACGTTAGTAAAACTTAAGATCCTTACAACTTACGTAAAATTAATGTAAGTTATAACTGTGCTCGTATTTGCATTGACATCGTCATTATGTATTATATAGTATTCTATCCTTCCTTTCTGCATGCATTCGTGGTGTAACGGTGGTACACTCGGTGCGTATTCGAGAGGTCCAGATTCGAGCCCCGGCGAGGGCATTGCGCATTTTTCATATCTACCTGCTTCAAAAAACCATAATGACTTTACAGTAATGTTTGAGAATATTTGTTTTTAAGATGCATCTCACTCGCATTTTTATATAACATCAAAACTAGATTTTTTTATAAAAGGCTTTGAGTCACAGCGATACGCAAGTCATATTAATTACTTATCTAAGTTTGCAGTTCTGATGAAACTGAACCTTTCAGCTCTTTTTACTAGAAGATTATTGAAGAATGCCTCTCCTATTAGTATAGTAAACAATTTTGTATACCATAAGAGGGTCCTGTCTTGTATATTTAAAGTATTAAAACATTTTTGACCTAGTTCATATTCATCTCTCTTCTGCCAATTCACAATTCCGAATTCAATACTTTTGTTATTTATTATCTAATTGATACATCATTAATAGCATACCACAGACAACTATAATTTTATACGAATACGTTTTAGCATATTAAGTAAACAGGCAACGCTAAAACTAACATCAAAAGGAAATGTAAGAATTTAAGACGTCATATACAGTCGTAAATAGTAGAGAATAATAAGTAAGCTGCCTGTCGGTTACCATTATGTGCATTGTAGCCTCTGAAGTTTCAAATAAACTCGCTTAGTTGTATTTCATGATTAACTTCGTCATGTGTTTTAAATGATTTCCTACAATGCAAAAATATGAAAAACTGTATATAATAATGAAAAGAAAACTGTTCACAATCATATTAGTGACAGGTCTGGAAAGTATCTATAATATACTGTTCTTTCCGTTTTTAAAGACTTTGAATTGTTTACCCACACATGAATGCGTTATTTTGCAATTTTAAATCACTGATAAATTTTGCACTGGCTAACATTACGAATGATATTCGATATTTTGTATAAATAATTCAAGTCGTAAGAGAATATGAGATTATTTTGAAACAATTAAAAACAGAAATTTACAAGCATCATTCTGTCATGAATAAAGTAACTCCAATTATGCCAATATTTTAAAGATAACTGCACCTTTTAGTGGATGTTGCAGTTATTTCTGTTTAAGTACGTATATTTTGTAAGTTACAGTGACAATAAACTACTTATGAAAATCACGAGATCACAACCAATTTGAAGTTGTAAACCAATTTTGAAATTACGATTTCAGGGACTTTTCTTATGCATAGTTATAGTAAAGACTATTCTAATTCAGGACAAACTACATTTATTACGCAATTTCATGACAACTTTTACTGTTTAAAAGAACTGATGAAAGCAAAATGCTATTTTTATGTATCTTATAAATAAATTTACTTTAGATTTTAAATTTCAAAGCCTGTAAAATAAATGTCTTTGTTTACCAATTATTTGTTTATATCGTTTATATATATATATATATATATATATATATATATGGTATAAAAGTTTACTTCGTTAGACAATAGTTGATTTGTCACCAACAGATTTTTGTTGGTGATTAACGAACTTCGCTTTTTGTGCCTAAAGCCTTCTTTTATATATCACAGCAATCCTTGTTTTTATGCATCAGGCCCACCAGCGGCCGAGCGATAAAGTCGCTGAACGCTGTCTACTTAGTTCTGCTTAGTTCGGTTCGAGGTTCGAATCCCGCGGACGGGCTGGCTGTATGGGCGATTTCGTAGTTTTTCCCATGTGTAACGTGTATACGAGCCAGTTTCCCTTAGAACGAAGGCATCCCTCCCCTTAGGCAGATAGCCCTTGAGGCTTTGCCATAATCAGATATATACACATTTTATGCATCATTTTTAAATATCTTTCCTTAGATGTAAGGCCTTCTTTTTATGCGATAGAAAGCTTTATTTTTATGTATCTTCTTTATGTTTTATTATACACAAGGCCTTTATTAATATTATTATTACTATTTTCATATAGCCTTCCAGTGATGCTAAAGTTCACTGTAATAGGTACTGTTCTTCATAAAATTCAATAAAAAAATTGAAATGTTCAAAACTTTATACGAAAATAAAAGTATTGATTAGTACAATATAAAGGGTAGCAATCAATTCATTTGATTTGATTTTTTCTTTCATTTTTTCCATAACCTTAATTTTCAGCCAAGATGTTTCATTCTTATTTTATTCTAGGACTAAGCATGGAGGAATGATTTTATTCTCAGACTAGACGCGGTGCAAAAGTCTTAATGCCTGCTGATTGATAGTTTTTGAGTTGCCTGTTAAAGGTGTGTAATATGTAAAACAAACTATTGTGGAATCAGAAAGTAAAAAAAGTCAAAACAATTTTATAAACAGGAAACTTCTAAACTATAAAATGATTCATATGGTATAACGCCGGGGTAGTTTTTCACATCTATAAAATATAACACAAAGTTGCACATCTTTTTTCTTTAGAAAAGCATATTTCAGATTTGCGAGAGTTCGGCGGGGGCAGTAGAGCGGCTACAATAATAATAAAAATATGTATGTAATAAAACTAAGTATGTGATAAAAATAACAGATGTATAATTAGATCAAAACAGAGTTAATTTATGCGGCGTAAAAGTTGTTATGCTCTAGCAATTTGTTTTGTCATTGTGAAAACGTTTATGAAAAAATGCACATAAAATGCTTTCCCAACCAAGCAAGAAAATGGGCAATTTTTTGCTACTATGTAATGGAAACAAGTTACTGACACGCAACAATCAGCTGAAATGAAATTATTCTATTAGTACCAACCGTTGCAAAAGTAATCTTATCTGTATCGTTTTCGTTACCTTTTAATACGTAAAGAAAAACGGTTAAAACTCGCAATACAAATTCATAACAAGTCAGCTTTCGATCGTTTTAAAGGTTTAGCAAAAATGCTTTCTTGTTTGGTAATAGCTGATTATTATATCAGCTATTATAGAAAGATATCCGTTTATTATAGAATATCCGTTTTCTTCTTGTTTCGAAGCTCATAAGGTAGTCGGCATTAGAATGAACGGTTTTGAATGTCTTTCAATGTTACTTTTCTTGGGAATCTTCGCATTGTTACTGCGCAGTAAGCAGAAAATGCAATAAGCCTTTGAAATCAATAAAGAAAAATTGTGCTTTCTAGTCATCATTAAAAGAATGCTTTCATTTCGTTTTACTATGGTGGGTTATGTATAAAATCCGTTTAACAAGTACAATATGGATTTAGTAGTAAGAAATGCGACTATCTTGCGTGATACGGCCACTAATACTCAAAATATGTGAAGCTTGTCTGCAGAACAATAAAATACTACCAAATGTACCAGTAATGAGAATCTTCTTACAACTGCGTCACTATATGACATTGATTACTATTTGCTGATGTTGAGCTTGCGCGATTACATTACATTACGAGCGATATAGTTGTTGAGCTCAGCATGTCTAAAGACGCATACAAATCTCATGGAGGGCCTTCATGGCGCCAGCGGTGTCCGCGTTGCCGACCCCTCACATTAGATACTTTTGCGAATAGTTTGATATGCAGATTGTTTCACTTATTCTTAGACTCTCATGCAATGTACAGCTTCAGTGAAACGACTATTAAAAAAGATAATTTTCTGAAATCATGAAGAGGAACGTTTGAAATATTTTGCCTCTGACATCACGAACACTTACTTTTTGTTTAATTCCTAAGAAACCGAGTAAGCATGTTCTCGCAAAATCCTTTTAAATACGGCTTGAAATTTAAACTTAACATTTCCTGCATTATAAACGCACAAAATCAATAACCACAGCAATGAAGAGAATAAGCATCATTCCTAATACACAGACAGTGTGATAATCCTGATGTACAAAAATAAATGGCAATGCTAATCAATCTTAACACAAATATTTTAAAACAAATCATGTGAATATCACTTGACTTTCCTTTTCTGACTAATATGATGTAAGTAAAATAAAATATTAGCAATTGATCTCCATTGGAAAATATTTATGCAGGCATTTATTTAAGAATTTCTGAACAAGTAGCTCCGAGCGAAGCGTTTGCAGACAGAAAGCCTCAAAAAGATTGCATATCTAAGTATTTCTTAAATGGTTAGTCTCAGATCTATAGTTACAATTTAAGACATGGAAGTAAGATAGGCTTTTGAACCACTAATTTGTTCATGTGCCACATTTTAAATAATAATAATAATTTATAAGATTTTTATAAAATCTTTCTAAGAGACTAAAACAAATATAAACTAAGAGAAGAAAAATAATCTATTATATTATTTAACTGGACCAGAGATTAAATAGAAAATTTATCTACAATTGTGCATGATGAATAATAAAAGCTTAAGGAGACGTTGCTGAATTTATAAAGATAATGGCTTATCCTTTTGACGATGCAATTCTATCTTTATATTTTGTTAATCAGGTACCCAATGTTGTGATTCTTGTAAAATATTCAGAACTTCGAATAGAGTCAGAAGTTTTTAAATGGAAATT